ATATATATATATATATATATATATATATATATATATATAATAATCATAATATACTTGATCAGAAAGAACAATCTTCGCAATCCAACTTTACATGAGTTAGATGGTCGTGCTGTTTCCTCAAGAGACCCCACTCACAAAGATTCCCAATGACATCTACAATTTAATAAGAGTTACTTAAGATTTGCAATCTAATAACAAACGTAAAAAACAATTTTAACCTGTAAGATATTTGTCGTCACCAACACGTGAACTAAGCTCATTGAACGGAAATAAGTCAAAAACATAACGTTGAAAGATTGTTGATGGCAAGTGGGAAGCAGCAATTGACGTATCAACAAGAAATTTAATAAAGATGTCCTTACGAAGTGGCCGATATAATGATTGACAGGTAAAACCGAGAATTATATATCCTATAAACACATCCCTCTTGTACAACATCAGTAAACTTGCACATGAATGAACTTGCAATGGTTGCATGAATAGAAGATCCCTGTTAAATGCAAGTAATATCATAACATACAAAATCCATATCGTAATGCAAAGTCAAATACTTAATCAAATAAACTTACATTTTTTCATCCAAAGAATAGATCTAAAGAGAAAACACGATCTGTTGAAGGGTTGTATGTTGTCCACTTACGTGAGACCATCACATGTACTTGCAACTTATCAGTAATGTTAGGCCTCAAATCACTTATCATCAGATAATTGGAACTGATCGTCATGTCTTCCTATATACATATCCATAACATATTGCAATCAAACCATCGATATCCAACAAAAATCAAAATTGCAATCAACGATCGATATCCAACATAAATCAAAATTACTAATAAAAAATTGACCAGAACTTCGATTTAGAACCACCAGTGTGATCATTAATCAGTGTCATCATTAATCGATTATTACATTCTTCAACAAACAAAAATTAACTAAGACTAACCTTGCACGCACAAATTCTTTATACTATGAAATCAAAAAAGAGGCAAGTATGTTTACTATACCTGAAGCACAATATACAGTACCAGACGACAATAGTGATCGACAAGAGTTTGAAGACCCTGAACAATCGAATAAGTTGAAACATTAGAAGAGAACGTGGAGCTACACCGATCGTTGGCAGTTACAGCGGAGAAATAGGAATGAGGGATAAGTCGGATATATTCAATGGAGATAGACGATATCAATTAGGGTAAAACGTTAAGTTAAAAAAATCCTAATCAATTAAAAAAATTAATAAATAAATAAATAAATTACATTAATAGCCCTAATGGAAGTATTAAAGGGATTGTAGTTGTTAATTTACTACCGAATGTTTGAAGTTAGTAAATGATGCGTATATATATTTCCTTAAAAAATTATAGTTTTTTAATAAATCAAATATAATATATGAAATTTTTGTATTAAAAAAAGGATGAACAAACCATTACATGATTATTTTTCTGAAAAAAAAAATTGTACCTGTTAAGAAATAAGCCTCTTCATGAACTTATGCATTTATGAACAGGATTATACCTATATCGGAACTTGCAATGCACTCATTCAATGTTGTTTATACCATGTAATGGTAAATTATAGAAAACTTCTTTGTAAACAACATTCTTTGTCATATTGTTACCACACTTCCCCTTGTTGTCAATATAAAAGTGAAGACCAGCACGAGAGGTTACACGAGACGCTGTCACGTAAAGCTGACCATGTGAAAAAACAGGTTTCACCAAGAAAGCACATACATGATTAAACGTTTGCCCTTGACTTTTGTTGATTGTCATAGCGAAGCAAACTTTGACAGGAAATTGTCTTCTTTTAAATCTAAAAGGCCATGTTGTGTCCGATGCAGTCATATCAATCAATCCTCCCAATTAATACTTTCTCTCCAATATGAGTACCGGTAATAATCACCGCCTCCAAAACCCTCCGACTAATTTGTGTGATGACCAACCGAGTCCCGTTGCACAAACCTCTTTGCAAATTTAAGTTACGTAACAAAATGATCGGTGCACCAACCTTTAAGTTTAACTCATGGTTTGGAATTCCTGAGAACCGCAACGTGTTAAGAAATTCTGAAGAATACATAATTTCCAATTCGGCAAAATTATCAGTACTTCGACAAATCTCATCAGCACTTAACATTTCATGCATGTCACCAGACATCTTAGAAAGCACATGTAAATTGATCATGTCAACATCATCGTTTGTCGGGCAAAGGATGCATCGTTCCTGTATGTAAGACATGTCATTAAGTCTACTCAAAATATCTGGGAATACAATGGATGTAACAGCATCAATAGGATTATCAGCAACAGGAATAAGAAGATCATCAGGTATAGTGATCCATGTACCATCGTCTTCACCTTCAACTGTACACGTAGGAAGCCGACCAACACCCATTTCAAGAATCCATTTACTAAATTCACGCATTTTTATAAGTTCATCGCCAGTAATGTTTTGATCAGACAAACGCATGTTCGTTGTCAAAACAAAAAAACGACATGAATTCCATAGACCTTCTGATTTGTTTATACAAGAGGACACAACATCAGAACGGGATCCATGTTGAATAACAGGCAAAATTTGACGAAAATCACCCCAAGAACTACCACTTTCCCTCCGAACACTTTGTTTTCAGATCCAGCAACATAATAACGACATACATCACGAAATGCACGATCAACAACTTCAAATGAATAACGATGTTGTAGTGGAGCTTCGTCCCAAATAATCAGCTCAGCAATATTAATCAACTCTGCGAGATCTGAGCCAACATCGATACCACAAGTTGAGTCTTTATCAATATCAATAGGAATATTAAACTTGGAATGCGCTGTACGACCACCAGGTAATAACAAAGATGCAATGCCAGATGACGCGACTGATAAAACAATCTTTCCATGCGATCGAATAGAAGCAATAATTGTTCTCCACAAATATGTTTTGCCTGTCCCTCCACAACCAGAGACAAAATAAAAGCCACCTGTCTTTTCATTGACAACATTAATTATAATAGTATAAACTTCTTTCTGTTGCACATTTAAACCACTGTAAAGCTCATTGAAAATCCTTATTTCTTCTTCGACGTGTATGTCCGCTCAGCAGCAATTAACCTATTCGAACCTATACTTAACAAACTATGGTTTAACTGAGGTAGATTGGGGAAATCAACCAACGAACGACAATTCCCATATAAAATATTATCGATATAAAGCAGAGTGTAGTTTACCAACTCATCATGCGAGAACATTAGATCTTCATTATCAAGCAATCTACGTTGATTATAAGCAACATCTTCTGATAAAAACGGGAAAGAATCCCAAAAAAACTTTTCTTGATCAGTAACATCACAAAATAACAAAATAGTTACAAATAGTTCTCGAAGTTGCTTTCCTGACTGCCATTGGGAAGCCTCTCGGATTGACTCAACCCATTCACCATCATCTCCTAGTAACCTCAACGCTTTGCAAGCAGACATATAGGTCGGATGCTCAACACCATCAACAGTGCGAATATCTTTAAAACTGCAGGGTCCACGTACAACATTTAGTAGCATACGAAGATAATACCTTTCTCCTTCATTTGGATTTACAAAATATAACCGACCAATAACCAACCATTTTTACGTGGCCTCCATTCCTTAACATCCCCTTTTTCATGCCATGTAAACTTCGTCGGGAGTCTGAATAAGTTAACAATCGGGCTTCTGCATATAATTGATTTGCTCTCATCCATTCAGTAACTTAGACACCGCAGAAACCCTCCTATCCAGAACTTCTGCAATATCATCATCTTCTCTAAAGTAAACTCTTTGACAATCCTCTTCATGAAATGGTAGTCTTTCTACTGCAACCGAGCGATATTGCATCTCAAATCCCAACAATTTCCAACATGCTTCTGATACAGAAATGTAACGACAATTAATATATTCTTCGATCTCATTCTCGTTGTGCAACATCGATATAAAGATCGTGTTCTATCTGGACCTTCCAAAACAGCAGTGGCAGATCATGGCCTTTATTAATGTAACTAAAAAGATACTTAATCAGACTGCCTTGGTTGCAATACTCAACATTTATATGACAACCATATTTGACAAGCAAATCGACATTATGAGGAACAACGTATCGGTTATCAAGCATGATATCCTCATTACCAACTTTAACTTTCGAACCATCGCTAGACCTTTTATAACAGGGCCAACCATCACGCCTAATGAAAGTTTCATCGCAATATTCCTTAGGGTACCCTTTAGAACAACTTCCATTGTGCATACATGGACTTAAAGTGTTAAGCTGGCCACATGGACCATGCATCATGTGACTACGAACAGCTTCAAAAGCAACTGGGTCATTTTCCTGAGAAGGCAACTCTGCCGATACAAATTGATCAATCTTTTGGGCTGTGGTTATTTTATCTGGCGGATGAAGAAACACAAGACAATGACAATGTGGCAACCCACGTTTTTGGAACTCAATTGTGTAAATAACTGCATACACATATAATTAAAATTATACAGCAAAATAACATACATTAAATTAAAGACGAAAACAAATATATTAAGAAAACATACCGGCTTTTGTACGACCAAAATGATGTTTTTTCCTTATGTCATTCATCAGCTCATCAAGCTTAATCTTGAACATACGCGCAACAATGTCAGGTCGATCGGTACTTGGTTGACCAGGTACCATTTGTTGAATATGACGTTTAATTTCAGGCCATTTAGGGTTGCACGTCATCGTAACAAATAGATCCGGAGTTCCATCCCAACGGCATATGGCCATTGCATCCTGATTTTTGTTGTATCTTATGCCTCGATCCACCATTGAATGATGATGGTAGTATTACTCGACGACCCACATATGAAGCACTTGTTTCGCCTCTACATAAACTATCAGTCAAACCATGATAGAGCTCGGAACGAATAGTACTTTGGTTTCTCTTATACCATTCTAAATCATGTTCAAGCACTCCAGCATAAGCATCAGCTATGAATGTATGAAACAAACGACCGGCTTTATGTAGAGTTTTACCTTCATTTAACCGAAAATGCAAACGAAAACAATAATATTCCCTCAAGGTAACATTCTTTCTTTTGTGTGATGTAGAATTACTCGATAAAGGGATATTTAAATGGAACCCATCTTCTCCATATGGGAAAAGTAACGGATACTGCAACGCCATAAAAGATGGATGCAGTTCACTTATCCTTCACACAGTACCATCGCCACGATCCTCAATAAGTACATCACGATACTGTATAGGACTACCATCACCTGGAATCAATGCAGCTACTTCAGATACAGTTGGTAGATTATACTGTCTCCCGTCTTTGGTTCAGTTACCAATTAATCGAATCTTAACCGACTGTGTTGATGACTCATGGAACCTATCTTTAGCCATACGAAATGCTTGAACCAATGAGTTATTCTCATCTAGCATAGACATGAGTTCTTGAACCAAGAGTCGAAGCATAGTTACATCTGATCTTGTAAGAACACAATTGCGTAACGCATAAAATCGATTGTCGATTTCATTTTCAGTATCATAAATGTACAACTGCGCAAATCTAGGACGTCCATCCTCGTGTGTAGGTAACAAAGTACCGATTCTATGGTGATTATGACCATTCAAATGAAATGTATATGGACCTCTACCATCATTACCACTCGTATGTATATTTCCTCTGGTTGACGTGAACGCAAACATACGATTTAAAAGCTTAATATGTTTTCTAAAAACTTTTGAACGTCGATCACCGTTGTAATCCAGTAAGTTCCACAACAATTGAGGAGGTTGGATAAGCAAAGGCAATTTAATCTTCCCTTCACAACAACATATGGAGAATTTTGGAATGGATGGCGAATACGTTTTAATGGTCCGCTCCTCATACCATAATATAGCTTCACAGTGTATACATGTGCGAGTTGCATCGCCACAATCCCAATACGACAACATACGACCTAAAGAACATGAATTTAAAGGAATTAAATATAAGGAAATGACATGCTATTACAAAGTTGGAAAAGTGATTAATATATATTCAAGGATTACGTTGAGATTGTATAATTTGTGATGCATTAGAAGACGAACTTCTTGCGTTATCCACAGTTGGTATGGACGAATGTACAATAGAGTTATTTGTTGTAATCCGATCATTCGAGTTAGCTGTTATAGTCGAATGTAATGAATTCCCACCAATATCAAAAGTTGTATGTGAAGAAATTATCCTATGAGGTGCTGTCCGATCGGAAGTGCGCATCTCTTCGTTGTTGAGAGGAAGGCTAAGAAATATATAATATATATATATATATATATATATATATATATATATATATATATATATATATAAATGATACATATCCTTGATCAATGTAAGTAAGAGACACAACAACAAAGAAATGAGACACACCAGAAGAGGGTCTACCACGATGATGACATGTGGAGCTAATATTGTCAATGCTAAAAGTTGGAGGTCGTCCTCTTACCCGAGGACGACCTCCCCGACTTGGTCTCCTGACTGCTGGGGCTTCAAAGGTATTAGAAGGTAAAAAAATAGAACTTCTACCATTATGCAGACTATAAGTTTGTACCACCGAATGTACAACTGAGTTATTAGTTGTACTTGGAGCATTCAAGTTACTCATTATAGTCGAATGAACTGGATTCCCGTCAATACCATAGTTGTACTTGAAGAAATTATCATATGAGGTGATGGCCGATTGGAAGCGCGCGTCACGTCGATGTTGACAGTACAGACTAATATAAAATTATATAATTTAAATGATACATATGGTTGCTCAATGTAAGTAACTTACTTACAAAAATAAGTATACAAACCTGATGAGAATGCCATGCTAGGTACCGAATTTGAAGTAATAATATTCTCATTGACATGTATACTTCCATGTTGTGAATACCGATGAGCATTGTCACCAACAAGGTAAGGAGACACAACAAAAGATGGTCGCCCACGACGACACCTTGGGGAAGTAATATCGCCAATGCTACAATCTGGAGGTCGTCCTCTTACCCTAGGACGACCTCCACGGCGTCGTCTCGTGACTTGTTCGTCTTCAATAGTATCAGAAGGTAAAGCGGTAGAAACATCGGTTGTTAACGGAAAATCAATGTCACTTGAATGAACAGATGTATTACCAAGACTATCCATTACAATATATCTGTTTTGATAACATATTATACATCATTAGATCCATAAAGAAAGCGTTTTATACACTACTTAAAAGACAAATAACATATTGTTATGCTTTAACGTAAACAATTATCAATTAAAATCTATTCTTTGCATAATTGACTTTCTTTATTGTTTTTATGTTATAACATACATATGAAATTTGATTGTTATTTTTACAAAATGTTAACTATTTCAAATATAACCGAATAGCAATTTTTTTGGTTTCTCTATATCATTATAAGACAAACATAAGTTAAACAAATTTGAAAATAAAACA